CGTGATAATCAATGCATTTCTTATTGTTTATTAAATTTGCGACAAGCTTTAAGATTTTAATGAAAGAATTACCATTAAATGGTAAAATTTCGCAAGGAAAAATTTTATTTGAGCGTAAAAGTCGGTTTGTTATGTAAATTTTTTGTTGTGAACGATTTTAAATGGACAATTTTTTTATTTTTACGTTATTCCTGATCGTGTTACATTATTAATCATAATTATCATTGGTCAATTATCACATGCGCGGATAAGTTTTCCTACACCCTAATACTGTTATAACTGTTCAAGTTCCTGGTAATCATAGAAAATAATTTAATAATTGCACAATTTTATAACGAAAAAGATAATTTGTGTAACGTTACGATATGTATAAATACCTATAAATACTGTGTAACAATTGTACAAAAATTAATTAAAGTTTGTTATAAAAATATATCAATTAGAACGAATACGTATAAAATTGAAAGCTCATATAGCACTTCTCTCAATATTATAGTGAAATTTTGACTACTAAAATGAACAGTTATTTTAGGCTGTTTCAATATCCCAGGTTATCTGTCATTCATATTCTATAATATTTGTCGTACCTAGTAGCTATAAATTATTATATATATATAATTTTTTTTGCGTGTAATAGATGACTAGACGCGCGTTATCGATAGAGATCTGAAGGCCAAAAATTTTTCAGGGTGTAGCATTGGTTTATCGATATATAACTTAGTAAATAAATTTAAATTTGGTGACCGAATTTTAGCTTAATTTCATAAATTTGTCGTGATTATTAAACTAAATCGTACTTTTTTATTATACAGATTAATGTGTTTGGTGCGCTAAACCATTAACGTCCACCATTGGTGCATTTTGCAAATTATACAGTACAATTTATATGTGTTATTTACAGTAAAATGGCGCATTAACCGATATAAAATGTAAGTTTATGTTAAACTATTATTTCACCAATAGCTCATCTATCTTATATCACCCAAAGTGACAATTTACTAAAAATATATACCTGTAACTAATCAAATACTAACTCTAACCCTATGTGATTTCAGCTAAATGAGTTGATTATTATTTCATATCGGTGAGACAAATATTAACAAATGCCTCTATACTTATGAAGAACGTTAGTAAGCTACATGTGCAAACCAATGCTTTCGTAAATCTGTAATTCTGTGCAAATGATCTTTGAACGCTTAGGTATTATCTTTATCATTTCGAAAATAATTTCGAACATAGTAGGTTAAACCATTTTGACATTTTTTTTACTTACCAACAGTTTTTTTATTTATTTATTTATTTATTTTTATTTTTTTTTTATCTCATTGATTTTTAAAATTTAAGCTAATATAATCAAGGTTTGTAATTTGCGATAAGCTTTGTATTTAGTTATATTTATGGGATATCGAGAAAGATTATCGATTGTGACGTTGAATAAGTACGAAAAAGAAAACAAAAATGATCAAGAAATCAAGGTGCTTAATGTTTTGTACTCAATAATATCAAGGATCCGTGAACACATGGTAACTACGTCTGAGCAATCTGAATATGCCGTAGTTATTAATGGATGAAACAAAGCCGTACCGGTTCAACTATAGATAGTAGATTTTCTCCTTATTGGAGATTTGAAAGAAATTATTTATGGAGGCGCAGTAAGAGATTGAGATATAAATAATGCTAATATGCTTTATAGTAGTAGAATAATGGACCAAGGCTTATCCATATAAAATATGGGTTTCAGACTTTCAAGTTATTGCCATTGGGTTCATTGGGTTCCTCGAACTCAAACCAAATAATGCATAATCGCAAATGTGCCATTAAGTTCTAGTCATTTCGGTGACATAGTTTTCATTGGTAATGCGGCCGATAGTGCATCGTCAAGAAATTGATTTAAGAAAATTAATTCAATTACGTATTATTGCAATTATTGGATTCTTTTTTTGTTTTTTTGTTTTTTTTTAAGGGCTCAATTAGCTGAAATATAAGCTTAAAGGCCCAGAGTCTGGTCTTCGATTGGCAGTATTTATATACATAAGACAATAGGCATAGTCAAGGCTGCGGCGATTAATTTTAAGTTAAATTTTTCAATTAATCGGATGATTAGCAAAATTCTTGAAACTTAGGTCTTTTCAGCACCGTTTTCTTCACTATTAATAAGAATTGATAATAATTTATTTAAGACATATTTTATCCATTTTGGTTTTAGCTACCATCTAGTACGACGACACACTCCTATGTATTAATATCAAGAAACTTTATCAAAACAGAAAGTGTTTTCGTTAGTATTTTGAATTGACTACAATTTCAAAGTTTATGATATTTTTAGCTTTTCTAGTTTATTTAACTATAAATTCAATTTAGTTATTTTAATTTAAGATAGCTTATTTCGGCATCCCATAATATTTTCGGAAACAATATTAGTTCAATTCATCTATTGAACACACGTGTTATCATTGTAAAAAGTATAAAAAGTTTTATGCTCAATTTTAATTGTTGTGCTATATAAGGCTAATTATAAAGTGGATTTATTTTCATACTAAATATAGAAATATAAAATATGTTTTCCAAAGCGGTCACAAATTTTAGTTTGTGCCAATGCATGATTATCATGTAATCCCTGATCACGAACAAATTACAGTATGGATAGTTCTGATAATTCGGATTTTAAGATATTTAAGGTAGAAGTATTATATAACCGTTAGCTTGCAATTTTTTTTTTTTTTTATTTTAAGGATGGCTTGCAGAATCAACTTCACCTCATAACGGTTTTTTAATTAATTCTGAGAACTAACACAATATAGTATAAACCGTTTTGAGACTGTAGAGATAACAGCTGTTATTATGGATCCAATTTAACAAATGGTCAAAGTGGCAACAATTTAGCTCTTCTCTTTAAAAGGTTAAATCAACAACAATCGATTATATCTCCTATATCCTAAGAAAAAATTGGACTCTGAAATATTTAAAGAAAATTTGCATAAGTAGGAATTGGAGTCGCCTAAAATTTTCTTAACCATCGTTTAAGTCAAATTCAGCCGGCATTAAAATTGTCCTGTGTTCAAATTTTCTTTGTATGTAATATTTTTTTTTATTATTGTATTAGTATTCGTTATTATATTTGTAGTACGGTTGTATAGAGTGGCTGTGTATGAGAGGTCTGGGTTTGGAACCACAGATCGTGGGACACTTAGGCCGTTCGAAGTTGATTCTTCGGTTAACATCATCCCCCTCCCTCCTCTGAAGTCTCCCCCGATAAACGAACAACCAATCAAAACGCTGGATAACCTTCGCCAATTACTTGATTTACGTCGACCAATGAAATTGGCCCATTTTTATATGTTCGTTTCATTTTACCCCCCTCCCCCCTCCCTCTCCCAAGAGTTCTAAAGGTGATGTTAACCGAAGAATTAACTTCGAACGGCCTTAGGGATGTTAAAAGTTCGGTTCGAGTCGGTCTTTTGAGTTGACTTGAACCGAACTTTTTTGAGTCGATTCAAGACTTGAGAAACCTTTTAGGACCGAGTTCCAATGTTCATGTGCAGCGTTATACACAAATCACACCCGTTATAGTAAGTGAGGGTTAATTGATTAACTTAAGTTGAATACCGGAATACTATTGGTAATATAATGTATTGTGACCAAATGTCACATGAAATAATAAGTCGGTCCCGAGTCTGGGGACACTTGAAGAACAAGGAACCCAGTGATAATCTCATCACGGGAAATCATGCAATTACGTCATTTGTTTACTAGCACTAAACAAATTAGCCTAAACTATTCTATCACCTAACCCTAACACTAACCCTAAAACGTAGGCCGAACACATCATCATCTGATGTGATTATCATGAAGATATCACTGGTTCCTTGATCTTCAATCTTCTCAGACCACCAATATTGGTTTGAGACTCAAGATCTTGGTTCAGGACCACCGATATTGGTCTGAGACCACGGATCTTGGTCCAGAACGTTAACATTTGAAAAGTATAAATACAAACATCAACAATTCATTTTTCAAATCATTTCATTTGTTTTCTAAAATATAGTTATATTATTTATTTATTTATTTAAAATGCTTTCAAAAATTCAATGTACTGTATAATTAAATATAAATCTTCGTATTTAAGGATATAAATTATGGAACTTCAAGATTGAATCGAATCTCATATGAATTATGCTGAGATCGCATATATATAGCGTCTCGATAATGTAAAGTTGTTAAAGTTGTTGACAACGCTGGAATAATTTTATCAGCTTTCAAAAATTCTGATTTTATTTTAAGTAGACTTTCATCCTCTAATTCTTTTTGATTTTCATCCACTAACTCTATTTTATTCTTCTTAAGAATTTCTTTCGCATTTTAAGCTTTTCATAACTTCTCTAGCGATTGGCCGTTCTGATGGACGTTCATTCATGCATTTTTTTGCAAGCTCTACATAACAATCAGGTGTCATTGAAGCGAATTCTAATGGTTTTCCGGTTGAATCTCTGACATTATTACTCCTAAGCTGTAAATATCTGACGCTTGAGTGTGTTTTTTTTCTTTTAATGCTTCGGGTGCAATATAAGCTATTTTACCAAATATTGCTTTATTATCTGCTACGTCATATGCTTTTCCAGGCAATCCAAATTTTGCAATTTTTGGTTCTATGACCATTGTCTTGTTAAATCATTACTATTTTGCTACCTAAAACAAAAGTATTTAATTTAAGATATTTAAAATCTCCAACACTTTTCATAAGTATATTATCACTGTGGAAATCTCCATGAAAATAACGTTGTTCATGAATTATGACTTACAATTGTTTTCGATTTAGTTGGATCGACGATCTGCATAATTTTTTTTTTTTCACCGCGAGTCCTGTTATTACAATAAAGGAATCACTTCAGCTTCAACATATTTCACAAAACTCATTTTAGAAGTCATATATTTCCCTTTTAATGATAAAGAATTTCCATAAAATACGACGAATATAAAGTGGCTATCTCTAGTGTATTCACGGACTCACGGGCTAAAAAAAAAAATTATGCGACCGTCGATCTAACTAAATCGAAAACAACTATAAATTATCTATTGAGCAAAGAATTCTTATTTTTTCGTCTCATACAAGAGTTGTAAAATTTTTAGATAAATATTTTCTAAGGTTTCCTTCGTCTGCATATTCCATGACCATTTGGATTGTAAGTAATTCCATACGTTTCTATTCTATATTTTTCTACATTATATCTTTTAAGCCGACACTCATAGTAAGCTAACGGAAAATGAACGAATTTAATATTATTGCTTATTTATCCTTAACAACTAATAAAAATTAAAATTATATTTACCTCTGCCAGAAATTTCGATGAATCATCAAAATGCAAGCTTTTTAGAGCAACAGTACAGTACTGTTCACGAGATGGAATTATCTGTTTGTTCATAAATATATATATCTCCTTTTGCCATCAATCCAAGTTGCAGAATAAACCGTGCCGAAACCACTATGATCAATATATTTAATATTTTTTAATCTCTCAAAAGGTATCCAATCGATTATTTTATTATAATATTTTGACTTTTTTTGCGCATCTTTAATAAAATTATCTATTTTATCGTTTTTGCTATTCCAATCATTACTTATATCACATTTAAGACAAAAGGAAAATCCAGTATTACATTGCTTACATCTTGCACATGCTCCGAACTTCGTAGAAGCTTTTCAGCTATTTTCGGATTAGATTTAATTCCAAGTGCTTTATCTAAATATTTAATCGATTCATCATATCTGCCCAAAGATTGATAATTTAATCCACAATTAAATAATGCTGCAATATAATTTGGGTCTAATTCTAAAGACTTAGTCAAATCTTCAAGTGAATCCATATATTTACCCATAAGATGATATACGAGTCCACGATTATTTAATATTTTTGAATCATGGACCGATCCTATTTGCAATGCTTTATTTAGATCTTTGAGCGATTTTTCATAATTACCCATGTATGTATACGTTACCCCGCGATTGTTTAACGTTTATCATTATTTGGTCTAATTTCTGATGATTTATTTGAATCGTAAAGTGAATCGTCATATTTGCCCATTTCTTGATAAGTCATTCCACAAAGATTTAATATTATAGGGTCATTTGGTTTGATTTTTATGCATTATCTAAATCTTTAAGCGATTCTTCATATCTACCCATCATCATATAAGTTGATCCACGATTACATAATGCCAAAACATAATCCGATTTAATACTTAGTGACTTATTTAAATCTTTGAGTGAATCTTCAAAGTTGTCCATAAATTTATGAGTTATTCCACTCAAAGCTAATGTACGCACATTTCTTGGTTTGATTTCTAATGATCTATTTAAATCTACGAGCGATTTTTCATATCTGCCAGTCCCTAAATAACATAAACCACGATTTTCAAGCAACTCTGCATCATCTGGATTATTTTTCAATAATTTATTATTATATTCAAGCGATTCGTTAAATTTGTTCATCTCTAGGTTAGCTACAGCGCAAAATTTAAAACCAAATCAACTAAATCCTTGCGGTGTCAATTTTTAATAGTGTATTCACGTCTGTAGAGAAATTTTCATAGCTACTGTAACGGTTGAATGGGAGAGCAAGGGTACATTTATGGACAATAGTGCCAATTTAAACCCCAACCGTGTACGGAAAGGATGGTTTATATAAACTAAATGGAATATTGGTAGGACTTAAAGTGAATTGGTCTTAAGAACAATTATGAAGATAACTTGATCCAAGAATGATAATGAGGGATATTGATATTAAGGCGATGAGCTATTTTGGACTTTACTATTTAAAATCGCTGATGCTGGTGATGCCAAAGGAGGTGGGGCTTTACTTTTCACGTTTCTAAATAAACTTATTCTTGAACGAAAGAATCTCCAACGTAATTCACGTGACCAAGTTCCAGGGTATTAAGAATACAGTTTCACGGAAAATTCGAGTCTTAATAAAACGTTCGAGGTTACAAGTCAATTCAATCCGTCTAATTGAGTTACGAAGGGTTTATTAAATTTAAAGTCGAATTTCAAAGGACAAGTATTTTCATCACTACTTATTTATTTATTATGAAGGGACATGGAACTTGTTCTTCTTTATTAATTTTTTTTAAAGCTTTTATACTTTTTTAGGTTTCGTAGCGTCTTCGCTAAAAATCTAGCGACAATGTTTCGTTCACGCAAATAATTTGACGATGACGCGATAAATTTAGCGTCACGCTAAAAATTTAGCGTCGACGCGAAAATTAGATCTACTACGCCCTTTAAGCCACATGGGATTTCCTAATTTGTATAACTAATTCATTTCGCGTTAAAAATATAATGGAAATACCATATTGGGTATTGTTATCAAAATAGAATTGGCGCGTGACGACAGTATATACAAGAGAAATAAATTAACGATAATAAAAGAAAATATATATAATTTTATTTAATGTTACTCTAATTCGTAACAGTAGATTGTGGCTAGGGATGGATTTTTTTCATACATATTAGAGATGGGCACGCGCGTGATGCGCGGGATTTTCAATATGATCCCAGATAAAATTATCTGGCCAGCATTACCATATCATCTGACTGTTAATATAATATCTGGCCTGCTTTAACATATTTACCGTAAATTCTCGAAATATCGAATTTAGGCCGAAATTCGAAACAATGCCCACGCTCCTATTTCGAAATTTTGCGGTAGAACAATAAATTTGATTTTCAATAATAATTTTTGCATGGTTTTTTATTGGACACAGAAAATTAAGAAACCTGCAGATTTGTGAGGAATTTTGAAAAAACTGCGATTTTGCCCATCTTTACGAATTTGGAGGATCTGGTGGATTTTGCGCGTTTATCATACTTTTTGAACTGAACTTTTTGTATTTTTTGTACTTTTGTACTTTTTTTTTGAACCTTTTGGACTTATTGAGCTTTTTGAATTTTTTGAACTTGATATTTATCTATTTTGGTGAATTAGTTAATTATAGCGAATTAGCTCCACTTACGTCTAACAATGTAAGAAAAAGTATAAAATCAATACCTTTCGCTGCAATAAAATGAGTCTCAGATAGAGTTTAGAACTCAGTTGGAGTTCGACTCTGAGAAAATGATTCCCTATTAATTCCCACGATTAATCAAATTCGTATGAGAGATTAGTAGTTTAGTCTCGTGATTCCTAAGTAGAGCCTCGTGACGTAATATAGAGTTCTAATCTAACACCCTAATTACTCGACCAAATCTCACCACGCCTCGATCGTAGCCTGCAGCCATTAAGGTTTAAATAGGGTTTAATCGTTTACATAGTGTTTTAGATATATTAGTGTGTTTATACCTTCATGTCATATATTTCCTGATTACGGAGCAGTTGCCACCTTTACAATACGCGTGCGGATAAAAAATTCCCAAATTACGGTTTGATATTATTTTCATGATGTTTATGCAGACTTGCAGACTTAGTGAAATTCGGGAAATTTAGGAAGAGATCATCTATTTAGCAGAGTACCCTAGCTATGGCAAAAAAAGTTCGGGTCATATGACGATCTGCAGTAAATTAGCCAATATCGATTTCCAGTTCGGTGTAACGTAACACGATCAGGAAAATTCATTCGCTCTACTTATTTCTCAACAAACTTCATAAGAAACAACCTCTACGCACTAACAAAAAATTCCGGGAAGGTAATTTTACCTATAGCACTCGCTAACCCTAACCTTGACCCGGACCTTAACCCTAATCTAAATAAGCTTAAAGATTTTTATCGGTTATTACGTGACCCGAACTTTTTTTGCCATGGCTTGGGTATTTTGAGTGCGCCAGGGCGACCACCAAAAGTCCGATCAGATGATAAGGCGCCACAGCCACATCATAATTTCTTCGAAAATTGTCGAATCTACATACCGATACCGATACAACTTTATTGTTGTGAAAATTTCTTATGTAACAAAACAATACGTATACTGGTT